GGAAGGCTCTTTGATCATGAAAAATACTCCTGCTAGCGATTTTTTCTCACCTTCTGATGAATCCATGATAAACTCGCTGGCATCTGAAAATGGCATTTTATACAGCTTAGAAGCAGTTAAATATTACGATGATCATATCATAAACACCATTGATGAGGTTGGTATATTAATATGATGATTTTTAAATTGTTCTCAGTAAATTCTAAAATTTTATTCTTTTTGTAGGAACTTGAAATGATATTGAAAGGATTGAGCTTCGAATCTGGGTTTCTTTTCAAGAAAGATGCAACTTTTTTCGATTTTCTGAATAGAGTAAGAGATGAAGAGCTTCTGCTTCAATCAATAGGGCTATGGGATGTCCCTCATCCATGGCTAAATCTCTTCATTCCAAGATCAGGAATTATGGATTTTAATGAAGGTGTTTTTGTCGATATTATTCAGAAACAAAACAGGAGTAGCTCAGGGCCATTCCTCGTCTACCCAATTAACCGAAAGAAGTAATTATTGATTAATCACATCATTAAAGAAATAACCATATTTAATCTTCCAATGTTTACAAATCTACTTAATTTCTTGAAAAAATTCAGGTGGGATGATAATATGTCAGTTGTTATACCAGAAGATGATGAAGATATGTTCTACACCGTTGCGTTATTAAACTCGGCTAAGGATTACAAAGATTGGGTGATTATGGATGAACAAAATACGGAGATTTTAAAGTTTTGTGATAAATCTGGGATCAAGGTCAAGCAATACTTTCCACATTATGGAAAGAAAGAAGAATGGATGAAGCATTTCGGCAAGAAATGGGATATCTTTAAAAAGAGGAAAGCTCAGTTTGATCCAAAAATGATACTCTCTCCTGGACAAAGAATTTTTAATTCTGAATGAAGTTTTTATATGTAGTAACTATTTTATGTCGGATTTATGTATGAAAAATAATTTAGGTAATGCACTTTAGTTATTTAAATGTTATAAGAATAATATATTAATTATGGATGGAGAACACTATTGTAGGGTTAATTTATTGTAATATTGGCATGACCCCATATATTAATATATATGTATGATATATATACTTTTTGAGAATTAAGTCGTTACTCACGAGTCAAAGAGCTTTTGATATAAACCTTAATTCTTGTTTCCCATAAAGCCAACACCCATGACCCAGCACCCCCACATCCCCTGCCCACCAACACACAAAACCCAAAATCAGTCATGAAATTTATTAAAATTTCTTTTTTTAAAAGTTTATTTGTTTCGTTTTCAAATCTATAAGATCTATCCAACAAATAAAAGGTTTCGTAATAAATTCAAAAAATACTTCATAATTTTGAAAATTGCCTAAGATTCCCTTTTCATTAACTCCAAATGACAATATTTTTTGTAAAAATGGAGTGCCTAAAATAATTTCATTGTGGGACATATTCTTAATTATTGTAAAGTTTAGTGGAATACAAACTCTATTATTACAAATCTTTGCATTAGACAACTTATAATTGATATCCAATTTCTTTCCACTGACGGTGCGAATCACATGGGTGGATTTTTCAAAATATTTCACAGGAATTAAACCTTCCTGTATACAGTTTATATCTGCTCCACTGTCAACAAGAACAATAAATTCTTTTTTATAATATTCTCCAATTATTAATTTTATTTTGACGTACCATTTTTGTGATATAACTAATTTCATAGCACTTAAAAATTCATCAGACTCATTATTTGAAGCTGATGTCTTAATATTATGGGATTCTTTTTCAAGAGTAATAATTCTATTTTCTAACTTATTATAATTGTTTTTTAGAAAAATAAT